AAAATTTATAGATTTATTTAGCGTATAGATTTGCGGAGTTTGGTCTAGAGGTGAAAGTTGGTTGAATAATGGCATGCAAATCTGTTTTTGTCAGTTTTTTAAGTTTCTACTTTCATAACCACAAATCAATTACTTTTTTTTTTTTTTTTTTTTTTTAATTCAAACCCAACACAAAATTTCTCAAAGAAAAATGAACCTGAAGTTGATTATCCATATAATATCTAAATATATTGTTTTTGGGATTATTCAAATTTGTAACAAAATCACACAGCACTCGCAAGAATAATCCAAAAACTGTTCAAAATAAACAAGAAAAAAGAAAAAGTAGAGCTACGTACTCAACGCCTCTGCAGAAAACCGTGGGAATTCAATGGGTCGATTGATCAACAATGGGGCAATTCTCCGATCCATCGATTCAGATTCGGTATCCGGCCAGCGGATCTCTGAGCAGAAAGCACCGATTCTGATACACTTTCCACGCGTACTCTTCAAAGCTAAACGAACGAAATACCGCCGTTTTCTTCTCTGCCTCGTTGCCGCCGCCGCCGTCCTCTTCTGCTTCTGCGTCTGTGTTTTCGTCGGTCGGTGGAAGAAGAGGAGAGACTTGGGTATCCAAAGGAAGAGTAATGAGTAGTGATATTGAGATGGTGCCCGAGTTGTCGCTGCCGTCAGCCGCCGCCGCTACTGCCCTGCCTCTCACTTTCTTTACCTTTCCATTGCTCCACACCTACAAATTTTGATAAACAATCGGAAATAATTTTATTTTAAAAATACATTTTCAAAATTTTAATGCTAAATTTTTCTTCCTCTAATAATTTCTTTTTAGAATATTAAATCAATAATTTCGAGAAATTAGGTTTGTGTGGATTTGTGAAACAAGCAGCATATTTGTCACGAATGAACGCACGTGACCAATGCCTCTCAGTTCGTGCAATCTAACAGCTTTTTAATTATTAATTATCAAATATCCTTACCCATTAATTATAATTTTCTATTCATTTTAAAAAAAGAAATTAAATTAACAAAACGACAGCGTTTATTTCTTACTTGCGCAATATCTCCGATTGAAACCATCACTGAATCCGCCGCCGTTGCCGCCGTCGCAACCCAGCCGGAATCTCCTAATACAGAACACCTCTGGTTCTTGCTCTGATAATGCAATCCAACAATGTATGGGTAAAATCCACAGGTCACTGCCGGCTCAGCGCTTCGAGAACCTTTCGATATCCATATCAGCGACCGGAATCTGCTTCGATCCTCACCGATTGGATTCTCGAGGCCAATCGCACGAAATAGGTGCTCCACGATCTTCAGTCCGAGATACTCCATCGCAGGAACGAGCTCTTGCAAAGCTTGTAAACAAATCTCGTCGGAATAAGGCAAGCACAGCCTCGGATCGAAGCAGAACGATTCACCGGCTCCGTCCGATTCTTCGTCTTCGTCGCCTATGAATCCCCAGTCCTTCGGAAACAGTGCTTCCTTCTTCTCCGCCTGAATGTCGAATAGAGCGGCAGATTCCGACTCGGCTGAGAGAACGAGATGAGAGGATATTTTATGATCAGTGATTTGGAAGAAGCCGAATTCTGAGACGGCGGAGAGTAGCCTACTGGAAAACTCGTCATCGGGAGAATCTGAGAAGGAAATCGTTGGTGGCGATATAACGGACGAGGAACGGCGCGTAGGAAGAGAGAGTTTGGGGGGGAGGCGGTGGAGGAGCCTGGAGAGAGCTTCGGCAGCGGCAGAGGTGGAGAGGTGGTTGGTTTGTGAGGAAGGAGTGGGCGGAGGAGCTGCGGTGGCGCCGCCGCAGATGTTTGGTAACTTATTGTGATCAACTGAGGAAGCCATTGAGAGGATGTGAACAAGAACACGAAGGAATGAATATTTAAATGAATAAAAATGTTTCAGAGTTGGTAATAAATAAAGACGAAAAAAATAACAATTTTCTTTTTCTTTTCTTTTTCTTTTTCTTTTTCAACTCCATATAAGGAAAAGACGAAAATGCCTAACGCCAATATGTGTCGCTTTATTCATTTAATATCAAATCACTTCACACGTGTAAAGTTATATACTTGAAAAATATTTCAATTATTAGATATGGTAGTATTTAATAATTTAAAAATAATAACACGAGACATTATTTCTTCAATCAAAATATTAAAATTAAGAAAATAAAGTAAATAATAATATTAAATGTAAATTATTGTAGGAAGTGAGTTAATAGATGGATTATTAAATATGAAATAAATAATAATAATATTTTTATAAATATTCTTTTAAAAAGTATTTAAATTAGAAAGTAATTCAAACTAAGTCTAGATAGTTTGAACGTATGTTGGGAGTCGTGCTATTTTCAGGGACTTTTTTGTCCCCTCACTTTCATTGCCCAATTATTGCTTAATTTTCCATTTTCCTAATCATAAATTTTTTTTAAAAAAGTCAAAATTAAAAAAATATATATTTATATCGCATACTCTTATAGTTTTGTTTTGAACTTCCCCAGAAGAACGAGTATTTTTTTTTGTTTATAAACAGATGATCATTCTCTAAACTAGTGGACGTGGGACTTTCATCTTTTAAAATTTAAAAAGAAAATTAATAAAATAAATGAATAAAAATAAGCAGAAAACAAAAACAAAAATAGACAGCTAGCAATGGGAAGAAGAGCATTAAAGAAAATTAAATTAATGGGAATTTGTTAAATTAAAGAAAAATAATAAATAAAAAAAAAATAAAAATTTGGGGAGGCAGCAGGTATTATGGGAGGCAGAGTGTTGGAGGAATCTGAGGCAGTGTTTGGTGCAGGTTTTGTATAGCACGGGCCTTCCTCTTCCCTCCAAAACCTTATCTTCTACTCCTCTCTCTCGCCTCTGTTTTGTTTTCAATTATTTCCCCCTTTTTGGTTTCTAACATTCACTTGCTCCACACCCATTTGAGCTCTGCTGCGATCATGGGGACACTTACATTGAGCTAAAGATCGCATGGTTTCTTTAGCTCAATGCTAGGGCTGTTAATTAAGCTATGTTCTAGTTTTCCAATTGGGTTAACAAAAGTTTAAATGAATTTTGTAGCAATGAAATGTAGTTGGTAGCCTGTAAGTTGTTTGTTGTCTGGTTGGGTGCTTCTTTGTGTTCCTAGTGGCTTCTGAATTCTCATGTTTTGCATATCAGCTCCCAAGGAGTTGCCTACCCAGAGGTATGTTATGGGTCATTTAGATTGTGTTTAGCATACCACCACAAATGGGCATTGGGTTTCTGTACTTTCTTTTCCACCACCAACTCATCTGTTTCATATGTCTTTGATAATGGTAAGTTTGGGATGTGGAGCATTGGCAGTTCCCTATAATGGTAAGTTTGTGCTTTTACCGTGCTCAACGAACCTAGGTCTGTTGCTAGTAGATATTGTCCTATTTGAGCTTTTCGTTTCGAATGCTAGTGAGAACGCTGAGCCCCAAAGGGAGTGACACTGTGCGGTGCGAGGAAGTTGGGTCCCAAAGGGAGTGGAAACTGAGTGGTGTACCAGTTTACGCTGGGCCTCAAAACGGATGGATTGTGAGATCCCAAATCGATTGGAGAGGAGAACGAGTGTCAGCATCCAGTGAGGATGCTGGGCTCCGAAGGAGAACGATGTATGTTTTTCAATTACAACCTCCTTCAATCTTTACATCTTCCAAGGAACATGATAGGTTTTGGTCGCTTATGAGATATGAATGTCATCAAAATGCTGTTTAACGGAGTGATAGATCGATTGTACTACTAGCAAATATTGCCATTTTTTGGCTTTTCCCTCAAAGTTTTTAAAACGCATCTGCTAAGGAGAGGTTTTCAAACTCTTATAAAGAATGTTTCGTTTTCCTCTCCAACCGATGTGGGATCTCACCATCCCCTTCGTAGCCCAACGTCTTCGCTGACACTCATTTCTCTCCCACCAAGGTGGGATCTCACAGTTTTAGGTGTCAAGAAATATTGAAGCCTAAGTTCAAGAGATTTAGGTTCTGATAGCAAACTACTGCATCTGCTCCATAATGATTCTCTTCTTTGGACTTCTGAAACAACATAATGTAGACATAGCCAACGGCAAAACAAGTTAGGATGATCACCATGTTTGATTCTGCTCCTATTCAGTTTAGTGTGGAATTTAGAGCATTCAACATATCATGTTTGATTCTTACTTTTCTTGTTCAATCCATACCTCTTACTTTGCAGATATGGGCAAGGAAGTGGCTCATAAATGGTGGCAACTGTGAGATAACAGGTAATTGGTTTGGAGTCATAAAAACTCTTTTGTTCTTGCTAGATTGAACCAGCTTGGTGCCATTGGCTCTGCTTTGCTCAATCAGGATTCCCTGTCATATGCCTTGGCCATGCCTCCAAACTAAACTTTGCATCTCATAGACTGAGACAATAAACCGTAAACGTATGTTTCAAACAAATTACAAGTGGTTTTTATTCAAAACTAAAAGTAAAAATATTTTTGAGATAACTAAGAGAGAAAAAGTTAATGTTTTAACGAGAATAATAATAACAATCATAAAGCTCACATTAATAATAATAACAATCATAAAGCTCACATTAATTACCCTTTGACTAATAGTGGATCAAATTTTAATTTGTTTTCAAATTATGAAGGCTAAATTCGTATAATATATGCATATAGAGGATCCTAGGAGAAGGAATGAAAAAGATTTGAATACTCGGGAGATTCGAGAATTGGACGGAGAAAAGTGGTTCAAATTCAACCTAAAATAAAAGGCTTCAGAGTTCATAGGAGAATATCATAATTTTTCCAGAGGTGTGAAACTTGACTTTCAAATTCCGACCCCTACTCAGTAGTCGTCGGCCTACAAAATACAATCAATTAGAAAAACGTGGCCAGATTTTACGATTTCGATTTGACCACGTCACCGTCCTCCTCCCTTCCCACCCCACCCTTCAATTACCCAATTACAGATCGTTACGTCCCTTTCAAATCTGCACATTTTTACGTTTTTCACAACTTTTTTTTTAGTGGGCATGCCTCTCTGAAATTTGAAGCCCGACCCATTTGCTTGGAAATTCCAATCAACGTCTAAAAAGTTGCCTTGTAGACGGAGGAGGAACAGTCATTGATATGAATGGTGGACTATAAATTAGACAGAGAGAGAGAGAGAGAGAGGGACCAAGTTAGAGGACAATCAACAAGAAGCACAAGTTGGGATTTATGGTTGTAAGTGAATGAGCCAGATTCTTGGCTGTGTTATCTCATCTCTTCTTCTGATTTCCTTTTTATTTTAGGGTTTTGCGTGTTGCCCCCATCTGTTTTTCTTCTTTATCTTGAGCCACTTGAGGAGGATACCTGTGTTTTTCTCATCTGGGTCTCTAATGGCGAGGTGGGTCTTATCTGAATGTGGTGTTAAGTCCCTCCCCAGGATCTACCCTCGCCCTTCTAGGAATGGCCTTGCTTCTAGGACTTGCATGGTGTCTGAGATTAGGTCCTCGTCGGTGCCCTCTAAACCCCACTTTCTCCGTTCTTCTTTGAGTCTTTCCACTAAGGGGAAGAGTTGGGCGCTGAATGTGAGTGCTCCCGTGAGAGTTGCTTCTGTTGATGAGGATAATGAGAAGGATAAGGTTGATGGGGTTGAGAATGAGGGTGGATTCGACCCGGCTGCTGCACCGCCGTTTCGGTTGGCCGATATTCGGGCTGCCATTCCGAAGCATTGTTGGGTTAAGGATCCTTGGAGATCAATGAGCTATGTTGTGAGGGATGTGGTTGTGGTGTTTGGCTTGGCGGCTGTTGCTGCTTACTTCAACAATTGGGTTGTTTGGCCTCTTTACTGGTTTGCTCAAGGAACCATGTTTTGGGCTCTTTTTGTTCTTGGTCATGATTGGTAAGCTTTCTCCATTGAAGCTATTGAATAACTTTACTTGCCTTTTGTCTTGGAATTCCTATGCCTGAATTCTATGTGGTTTGCTTTGGTTGGTGAATGTGCAGTGGGCATGGAAGTTTCTCTAACGATCCAAAACTCAATAGTGTTGTTGGCCATATTCTTCATTCTTCAATTCTAGTTCCATATCATGGATGGTTAGTTTCTGATCACTTCAAAGTTATAATGTTCTTCAAAGTTGTAATATCTTATCTTGTTCTTTAACTCAGGAGAATAAGCCACAGAACTCATCACCAGAACCACGGCCATGTCGAAAACGACGAATCATGGCATCCTGTAAGTTCTTTATAGTCTAGCCCTTCTGGATTCTTTATCTCAAGGAAGCAGTTTGTAACTAGAGATGATCATTTTGTTGAGCCTCATCCAATAGCAATGTGTTCATATCTGTTTTGTAGTTGTCTGAGAAAATCTATAAGACTTTGGATAAAGCAACAAAAACATTGAGGTTCACTTTGCCTTTCCCCATGCTTGCATACCCCATCTATCTGGTTGGTACACTCTGTTTCGTCATCATTTTGTATGAACTTCAATGTTCTGCCAATGTTTTGATGGATTCTAATGCATCCTGTTGGTGATATTACAGTGGAGTAGAAGTCCTGGTAAGAAGGGCTCTCATTTCGACCCGAATAGTGATTTGTTTGTCCCGAGCGAGCGGAATGATATCATTACATCTACTGTATGTTGGACTGCAATGCTTGCTCTGCTTGGGTGTTTATCTGCAGTGATGGGTCCTCTCCAAATCCTCAAACTTTACGGAATTCCCTACGTGGTGAGTTCAGTTTCGATCACGAATTCGTGGTGAATACTTCTTTGGATACAATCATTCACTTGTACACTTGTCTGAATGTTTTCCAATTGTAGATGTTTGTCATGTGGCTGGATGTGGTCACATACCTGCATCACCATGGTCACGACGATAAACTTCCTTGGTATCGTGGAGAGGTACGCTTATCAATCTTTTCGAACAAGAACACATCATAAAGTGTTATGTTTGACACCATTCATGAACTTGTCTGGCTCTATATTTGATGATCGAACAGGAATGGAGTTACTTAAGAGGAGGATTAACCACTCTCGATCGCGATTACGGATGGATCAACAACATCCACCACGACATTGGAACCCATGTCATTCACCATCTCTTCCCTCAGATCCCACACTATCACCTTATAGAAGCAGTGAGTATTCTTCTCAATCTTGTATCTGAAACTCAAAACTTGTCTTTACCCTATATTTTCTAAATTCTCATCGAAACTGCAATCTTATTGTGTTAGACCGAGGCAACAAAACCAGTGCTCGGAAAGTATTATCGGCAACCAGAGAAATCATGGCCTCTCCCCTTCCACTTATTGGGAGTTCTAGTAAAAAGCATGAAAAAGGATCATTTCGTGAGCAATTCTGGGGACATTGTATATTATCAGACCGATCCCGACCTTTCTTGATCAAAGCAACAAGACTGAGATACTGCTCATCACCAGTATATCAAAATTCTTTTCTAATAGTTCGTGAGCCATTCGAGTTTGACCTCGAATAAACTTCCAAGGGGGAAGAAGCTCTGTTCATGATGATAGTATTCATATTTACATATTATTATTGCCATATAGAACAAAAATTGGCATTAGTTTTGCTTGAATTCTGTTTAATAACTATTAGTGAAAATATATGGATGCCGTAACACCAATCACAATGGTGTTACATTACATGGGATGAGTCATTTGTTTTTAAATTGTTCCAAAACATTCAGCAAATCCCACAATTTCATGAACTAAACTCAAAGCAGAAGCAGAAAATTAACAAAATGATTATTAAGAAAATCGGATACTCAACTTTGTTGATCAATACTTCACTGAATGAACAGCCTTAAGAAATGAGTTGATTCGAGTAAGATCCTTCTGAATCCCATCTGAGCCACAAATTCCACTGCTAACATCAACGCCTTGAGGGTTCAGAAGGGATAGGGCTTGAGACACATTCGCTGGATTGATCCCTCCAGCCAAGAGCCAACCTTGTTTACTTCTAATTATCGGTACCTCAAACTGGGCCCAATTGAATCCCTTCCCACTGCATTCAACAGAGAAGGAAAGAGTTAATAAATTTGGCCATGTGACATGCAGGAAAGTTTCATGGCTGCTGCTACTAAGTCAAAATCAACACGTTCTGTCAATTTATTAGAGGGTTTCGATAGGAATGGGTAGCTAATACATCAAAATAAACACGTAGAAATAATTCATTTCAGTAGCTGATGTGATTGGTCGTGGAAATAAGAGTCTAAATCCTTGTTTATTAAGGACTCCGAACAGTGCTTTCCAATATTTTAATATAGCATTCAACTTAACATAAAATTCACTTCTTGGATTTTTTTTTTGTACTGACTCCATGTATTAGTTAGTGCAGATTTGAACTTTTAACTAGAACTTTTAACTATTTATGTAACGGTTTAAGCCTATCAAAAAGCAAATATTATTCGTTTTGGACTTTTACTCTCGGGCTGCCCCTCACTAGGGAGAGGTTTCCACACCCTTGCTAAAAATGTTCAATTCTCCTCCCCAACCGACTCCTTGCTAGCACACCGTCTCGTGTCCACCCCCTTCAGGCACAACCTCTTTACAGACACATCGCCCGATGTCTGGCTCTGATACCATTTGTGCTCTGATACCATTTGTAATAATCCAGGCCCACCGCTAACATATATTGTCTTCTTTAGGCTCTCTTTCGAGCTTCCTCTCAAGGTTTTTAAAACGCGTCTGCCAGGAGAGGTTTTCATACCCTTAAATGTTTCGTTATCCTCCCCAACCGATGTGGGATCTCACCATTTAGTTGAGAATATATGCCTCAAGTTGTCAACTCTCGGGGTAGTGTTGTTTATTTAATGAAAATCTTATAACACCATGTAGATATTTGGAGACATATTAACAAATTTGTTTTAAACCAGCACATTGAGGAGGAAGTTTGAAGGTACCTGCCACCTTTGGCACTGTCAACAAGAACCCAATCTACTAAAGAACAGTCCTCAGTAGAGATCGCATTTAGAAGGCTTCCATCTTCATTTGCATTCAGAACATAAATAATTCTATGATCTTTAACTAGAAGGGGCATTGCTTCCCGTGATTCATCTCCATGAAGCTGTGAATCCAAATCATTCAGAGTAAGAAAGCTAGCTATTTCTGTACACAAGGAGATCAGGTCAACAAAGAGCTGTACCTGCACAAATTCAAGGTCACATGTATGAGCAGCTCGAGATATTGTTTCGACATCGTCATCGACAAACACTCCGACAGGCTGTGCACCATTTTGTCTTGCAATTCTGGATATCTCCTTGGCAACTGAGAATGAAACAGAACGCTTTGAGTTTGGCCAAATAATCATCCCAATGAAATCAGCACCAGATTCTGCTGCCAAAGCGGCATCTTTAGCTGATGCAATACCGCACATCTTAACAAGAACCTTGTCCTTTCTATGATGTTCAAGGTTTGAAGATACATTCTCTTGATTAGAAACGCTACAGGTAACCTTTTTCTTTTGACAAGGCCACTTTCTCCCAATGTGTGAACTGTCCCTATTCAAACCTGCAAAGAAACAAAACTGATGTAAGAGCAGAAAGTAAAATTTTTCCAACATCCATAAATTGATGTCAAAAAACCAAGTAAAAGGCAGAGCAGTGGTTCAGAAATGAGTGAACATTGTTAAGTTGAGCATATCTTAATTGGAACCTTCAGATATTGAGGTACTGAAGATAAAAGGAGCAAACACACACCATGAAACTGGTGCTTTCTATACACATTCACAACTTTTGGCCGAATGCAGCTTCCAATGGTCAAGCCTGGCAATATGAAAAAGATTATGATATCAGTGGTTTAGACTATAAGGAAAGGCAATTTGTTCATGGGAAAATGTTGGGAAACCCCATGATCAAAGAATCAAACAGTTCGATTTGAACAGCAAAGAAAAGTTGTTCGTGTGGGTAATTTAATATATAAATCTATTAAAGAGATTCTAAATAATTAGAAAGACAGAATAAAAAAACAATCAAATGGCATACACTCCTTTCAAACTCCATTTGACAGTGGTGAATCATATACGAACCCTTATATGACCGCCATGAGGGGATATTAAAGCGGTGGAGAAGCAGTGAGAATGCAATGCAAGTCATTTGGGCAATTCGTCGAACAGTTAGTGGGCATTGCAGGTGAATGGAAAAATCTCAAACAATCTAGAACAAAATTGTATAATCATACCTGAAATCATTGTTCTGCCCCTTTTCTTCACGTTCTTATTTCTAATCAAACTTTGATTCAAATGAATGAGCAATCAATTATTGATTTGCTTAGCCGGTGAAACTTATTCTCAATGGGTAAACTGAAAAACAAAAATGCAACTAAAATTTGACAAACCCTCGTTGAAATTAGTGAAATGGATTCGTAATGAGGTGAAAAAATTACCTGATTTGACGCCAAAGCGACTGGAAATTTGGAGATAATGCTGTGTGCTTCGTGTTCATAAAAGAAAGGTGAAACTAGATGTCTTACGATAAAAGCTGGTTGGAGTAAATAAGAAAACTAGAACAATAAATACAAGCCAATTCTCGTTTGCTTAACTCACAATTCAATTTCTTTTTTAATTATATATTTATTACATAGCTCAATGCTAATAGATATTATCTATTTAAAGTTTTTAAAACGCTAAAAATGTTAGTACGAAATTTTCACACTTTTATAAAGAATGTTTCTTCTCCTCTCCAACCGATGTGAGATCTCACAATCTACTTCTTTACGGTCCAATGTCTTGATGTCACTCCTTCCCTTTTCTAATCGATGTGGAATTGTCCAATCCACCCCTTTCGAGGCCTAGCATACTTGCTAGCACACCGCCTCGTGTCCACCCCCCTTCAAGGCTCACTCCCTTCTCTCATCAATGTAAGACCGCTCAATTCACCCCCTTCAGGATTCAGTGTCCTTGCTGGCATACCGCCTTATGTCGACCCTCTTTGGGGCTCAACCTCTTCGCTAGCATATCGTCCAGTGTCTGGCTCTGATACCATTTGTAATGGTCCAAGCTTACCACCAATAGATATTGTCCTCTCTAAGTTTTTCCTCTTGGGCTTCCCCTCAAGGTTTTTGAAACGTGTCTACTACGAGTAGGTTTCAACACCCTTTAAAAAGAATGTTTCGTCCTGCTCTTCAACCCACGTGCCCACGTGGAATCTCATGTTACATTAAATCAGTTGAACCAGGAAAAGAAAAAAAATGTTATGGGCGGCTAAGAAAAAGAACCAAGTGAGGCCACAGCCCAATCCGACAACCTCAAATCTGTCCCAATCCTAAACAATAATAGCAGCAAAGGTTTTGGTTTGCTGTCACTCTTCTGGTTCTGTCTGTGCCTGCCTGGCTGCCATCCTCCATTATCATCTTCTTCACTCTTCTGGTAATGATTTTCTTGTCTTAGTTAAGTCACTCAGATAATCTGAAGAACAATGCAGAGTTGCTGGAAACATTATATGTTTTTCTCATTATACTAGAGTGAAAAAGATACATGTTTATCTTATAATCAGCCCCAAAATGGAGAAAGAAAAAAAATTAACAAATATAATATAATACAATGAAATGAATACGAGCATATCTTACTGATCCGATCATCAGATTGTTATTGATCTTTCTGAAGATCGATCGACACCCTACCGAAACTTCAGGGCTTTTCTTGAACTAGAATCGTCTCTTTACTAATAACTTAAGCTATAATTTCTGTAATCAAATATTGAATGAAATGTGATCAACTTGATATTGTTAGCATAATATAATGTAGGGAAAGGATTTGGCCAGTTTTTGCTTATGCCACTATCTGCTCCTGCTCTGCATACAACTGCTGCTCCATCCAGGATGGGAGCATCTCGTTGATTTCTCTTTTGAGGTTGTATTGCCGCTTCTTCGCACCGAACTGCTCAAAGCTGTCGGAGGGAACGTCTTTAACCAAGGAGTTAACCCAAGAGACGTCGGGCTCCCCTGCGGATGGTGCAAAGGTTGTGGGACCTCCTATGCCATTGTTTCGGATGGCAAACGAAGCAGATTTCTGGAGTTTGTTGAGATTGTTGCTGTGTACTCCCCAGTCTAGTTTGCCATCGGGTGAGTTCCAACCTGAGAGATGGGAAGACATTGTAGCTGCAGAGTTTGCAGCTGTGGTAAACCCGGGAAGACGAGGCACTGCAGCTCGATCGATGAAACTTTGGCTTCGTTTTGCAAAGGCAGCAGACCTTGAGTTCATCACAGCAGCTGCCACTGCACTTGATGAATCAAAGCCAAAAGAGGAGGGCTTCTTTACAGGTGAGGATGTTAAGTTAGCCGGGTAGCTTGCACGGAGTTGGTTCATATTTTGGCGCATCTGCATCCCGGTCGGAGATTGAACCTGAGAAGTTTTTAGCGAGCCACCCTGCAACTGAGACAACAAGGAAGAATCTAATGATCCAAACATGTCATCAAGGTTTGACGGCTTCAACTCGGCACTCCTGCTTACATCTCCACTCCAGTAATTAGGAGTGGAAAGTCGAGATATCTCGTCGATCAACTGCTGCTGATGTTGTAGCTGGCTCGCGTTCTTTTCCAACCCGAGCAATTCCATCTCAAAATCCAAATCTCTTGCACTCAAGGTGGTCTTTAACCGACTACCAGAGAGTTGCAGAGCAGGAGGGGTAAGGTTAATCTTGTTCTGCCA